CGGACGGGAGCGCGCGGGGGGGGCCCGGCGCCGGGTGCATTGTCCTCGGAGGGGCTCCCGGGGCCGCCCGGCCGCTCGCTCGCTCGCTCGCTCGCTCTCGCTCTCTCTCCCCCCGCCGACCTCGGGCGGAGGGGGGCTGGGGTGGGTGGGGGGCGGGGGGGACCCGGGCCAGACGCTGCCGCCTCCTCGCCAGCTGCTGGGACTCGCGCCCGGCTCCGGCGGCGGCGGGTTCCGGACCGGAGCGGCCGCCCTGGGCGAGCGGAGCCGCGGGCGGCCGGGCTTCGGGGGAGCCGGGGAGCCGAGCGGCCCGCCGGGACCCGAGAGGCGGGGGCGGGGAGCGAGCCCAGCAGGCAGGGGAAGGAGCTGGCAGCGGGGAAACCAGGACTGGATTCGAGGGGGAGAGGAGGCGAGAACAGAGGGGGAGAAAGCCTGGCTGGCTGGATCGGCGGGAAGGAAAGGAGGGAGAGTGTAGACGCCCGAGCGGAGAGCGCTTCGGGCCGGGCAGGACCCGAGCACAGCTTTCCCGAAGCCGCCAGCTCCGCAAGCCCTCAGGGTTGAACTTGAAATGCTGCGTGGCCTTGGACTCGGTGTAGACGCACCTTCGCGCCTCAGAGCACCCTGCTCTGCCCTTGGTCTGCACTGTGCCTACAGGAGGAAGCACGGGCCGACTTTCCCCTCCGTGTGCCGTGGCCTGTATTTCCTCCCGTAAGGCCCTGAGAGTCAATGGAAGTGATTAAAAAGTAAAATAAAATTAAAAAAAAAAAAAAAAAAAGAACCAGGAAGAGACTGGAGACGTTGAGTCTCAATTGGTAGAATGACCCTGCTTTGCATAATTCAGTCCTGAGTTCCACCCCATCACCCCAAACCAAACCAACCAAACACACACACACACACACACACACACACACACACACACACACACACACACACACACCCAAATTCTATTGTTCAGAAGGAGCACCCCCAAACAAAGACTACATATTCATGCATCCGAAGCTGTCTTCCCCAGGAAGATCTCAGTTCCCAGTAGATGAAAAATCTCCTTGAATATAATTGCTGAGAAGAGAGCCTAGGAAAAAGGGGCTGCACCTACCACGGTCTAGTCCTGGGGTAGGCGGAGGCCCGGCCGGGCCAGGGCTTGAAGCGGCTCTGGAGACAGCCTGGCTGGGGCGGTTCAGAGAGAGGCCTTTGCTTACGTGGCCAAGCTCATCTTTAGTACCCTCAAAGATTTTTACCTGGCGAGCATGAAGTTCCTCATCAAACTAGACGCGGTGGCCCATGTCTGTGATCCCGTATCTGAGGAGGCAGAGCAGGAGGATCAGAAGTTAAAGCCGTCTTCCACTACATAGCACGTTGGAGGCCGGCTTGGGCTACGCTAAGTGAGACCCTGTCACAAGAACAAACAAAAAAATTAAGATGAGATGAAACAGCAGGAAATTGGGTCTATCAAGAAGGAAAACAGATCTTTGGAGGTATGGAAGCCTCAAGGCCAGCCTGGACGGTTGGATTGGCTGAGTCCTCCCAGGGGCTGCCTCCCCCACCCCACTAGGAGCCCCGTGGGGCAGGAGGTAAAATGCTGCTCTCGGGGTGAGAGAAGAAAACTACTATAGAATTTGGGGGTCCTGTGTAATTCCACTCCCGGCCCATAGGGGCAAGTCAGTCGGGAGCATGTCTGTGCTTTCCTCCTCCTCTGCAGACTGGATAACCCCAGCCCGGGTTTCACTGCCTCAAAACTGCTGCCGCTGTTGTCCGCCAGGGTGGGATTACCATCCTGCTGGCCAAAACCTCCCCCTTGTCTGCTTTTGTTGTTATTGTTATTATTGTTGTTGGTTGATTGGTTTTGCTTTACTTTTCGGAGACAGGGTTTCTCTGTGTAGCCCTAGTTGTCCTGGATTTCACTCTGTAGACCTGGCTGGCCTCAAATTTACGGAGACCTGCCTGCCTCTGCCTCCCAAGTGCTGGGATTTAAAGGTGTGTGCCACAGCATTCAGCAAAAACAGAAATTTCAAAGAAGAATCCGCCTCAGCCGAGGCTGCCTTTTCTGGCTTCTTGGAGGTCAGTCTGGACAAATCCACATGGAGTTCAGACCTTAAGACATAAGTCCGCACAGACAACCTTTGAACAGTCCAGACAGCAGAGCAAGCGTAAGGATGGGAACCCACCCACAGCCCCAGCTCCACCATACAGCCTGTGGGAACTGAGGCCAACTAGCTCACCAGCCTGAGCTTCATACTGGTCCATGAAAAGGGACCATCGCTCACTTTAATGAAATGCTGTGTGAAAGACCATGTGTGTAAGTGGCCAGGCCCAGTGCTGGCTCAGCGTGTAGACTCGTTAAAGAAGCTGGTGTTCAATTACCCAGTCCACACCTCGGCCTCCCAGGGGGCACTTACTCATAGCACGGGCCGCTGGTGACTGCCATTTGAACTAGGTTCCTTCTCAAGCCAGAAGTCAGAGGTCTTCTTCCCCGAAGCTCTACCCTTCAGCTGGTACAGGGGAGCAAAACCTGCTACATTGAACCTAGTCTCCATACATGGTGCCAAGGCCACACACTTGGGGCAGAGTGGAAATGACAGCTTCAAAGATGCAAATCCTGCCAGGTCCAGCAGATGTCTGGGTTGAGCTAGGCCAGGTAGAAAAGGGGTTTGGGGACTTGCCAGCTTCTAATGGGAGCGATTATAGCTATTTTCCTAGTCTCCCCCAGGGAAAACACCAGCAGTGAACACGGAAGCTGGCCTGAGCTTCCCGTCGTAAGTCAGTGAAGTGGCTGAAGAGGTAAAAACAGCTGAAAAAGGCTGCAAACAATGAAAAAGCGCTGGAACTCCTGAGAACAGGAAAGAACCAGTCTCCCCGCCCCTGTGCCCCTGCCTTAGACCCACCCATCAGGCTGAACCCTCTCGTTCACTGGGACCAGATAATTTCGCTTTAGCTGTCTTTTGAAGTGTACAGTCAGGCAGTGGGGTTAACGTTCATTTTTTTAAGAAAGATTTATTTATCTAGTATAGGCCTGTCATCTGCGTGCACACTTGCCATTGCGCACCAGAAAGGTGTGGGACCCCATGGGAGTACAGCCGCCATGTGGGTGCTGGGAATTGAACTCAGGACCTCTGCCAGAACAGCCAGTGCTCTTAACCACTGAGCCATCTCTCCAGCCTGACAGTTCTTTCTTTGTTTTGTGAGACAAGGTTTCTCAAGCCGGGCACTGTGGCGCTGGCCTGTAATCCCAGCGCTGTGCTCTGTGCACCACGCGCGTGCCTGCAGCGGCCAGAAGAGCGTTAGATCCCAGGGGACTGGAGTTACAGGTGGTTGTGAGCCATCACTTGGATGCAGGGAATCCAATCTGGAGCCTCTGGGAAAGGAGCCAGGATTCATAAGTAATGAGCCGTCGTCTCTCCAGCCCCCACAAAGAGTTGCTTTTCCGTAAGAGGTCCTTAAGCTGAATTTCCTGTAGACCCCAGCCCCTGAGTGACAAGTACACAAACCATCAGGATAAGACAGGGTAACCACCATGGAATAAGCTGGTGACCATAGTACTGGTAGCATCTCATCTCTCCTCTCTTTAGATTTCCAGGCTTCTTCACCCACTCATACACACACACACACACACACACACACACACACACACACGAGTGGGTGTGGGAGGAATTAATTCTAAACATCTGAAAAGGATCTAGACAAGGAAACACAGGTGCTGGGCATGGTGGTGCACGCCTTTAATCTGAGCACTTGGGAGGCAGAGACAGGCAGATCTGTGTGAGTCGGAGGCCAGCCTGATCTACAGATCGAGTTCCAAGGCAGCCAGGGCTACACAGAGAAACCCTGTCTCGAAAAACCAAACAAAAACTGAAAGTGAAAGAAAGAAAGAAACAAACAAACACACAGTCCCGGTGCTCCTTATAAGCGTGTGGGGGTCTGTGTAAACCTTCCACACAGCACCTGGAAACAGAATGAACTCGACCTATCCACGTCATATTACTGATGAAGGCATTCGGGTTAAGTTAGACTTCTGCTGGTCAGCCTGGCTGCCAGTTCTCTTCACAAACCCAGATGTCAGCAGCTCGCAGGTGTGGGGGGAGGGGTCAGTCAAAGCTGTTTCCTCAAGCACTCCCCACACACTAGACACTGGATAGAGTTCCTCTGGCACTTTATCTAACACTCCGAACTACAAAGCCAAAGGCTCATGGCCTCCTGAGGAACAAGAGACAAACCGGCAGGTGGACTCAGCCTTGTCCAGCTCAACAGTGGAGGAGGAGGGTTCAGTGGGGTGGGGCAGCCTTTCCTTGCACTAACCATGGCCCTGTTCCCCGCTGGTTCATCTCTGCTTGGACTCTGCCTCTCACCCTTAGAGTGAGAATAAAGGTCAGCTTCAAAGGGAGCTGTCAGAGCACTGAGGAGTCCACAGAGGCCCCTCGTGTGAACAGGAGATGAGAAGAGACAAGCGGAGTTGGCCGGTTCTCAGTCACAGTCAGCAGACAGGTTGCCCAGAAAGAGCAGACCTAGCAGGAGGGCGGGACTGAAGCGGGCACCTGTGCAGACTCAGCTTCCTTGAGGACTTGAAGCTTTGGAGCTACTCAGCACTCTGAGAGAACAGATTAGAGCCTGGGTGTGCCCCGAGCTGCCTCATGGCGATGCCAGCACCCACCGGGACACGCCTCAGCCCCTGAGCTAGGTGCTGGGGCTCCACAGATTTTTTTTTCCTAAGAGTTTCTGAGCAGGGAAGTCTCTGAGCACTTAGCACTGGGTGGTAAACTAAGTGATGTACCGTCCTGAGCCCTGAGTCAGGAGCCGGGAAGTAAGGCCTGACTACGAGAGCTGTTCTGAAGATGTTGGCAAGAAGCTGGGGTTGGGATGGGGGATGTGGGTAGACAGTATCCCAGAAGCAGGCAGCCGGGTCTCTCTGAGGAACGGCTGCTGGCTGGTGAGCTCCCTATTACGAGAAATGTCCATCTTAGCAAAAAGAGCTAAGAAAAATACAGCAACCTTTTAATGTATAGTTAATCTAATGTGAATGCAAGGAGCATTTTTGGTTTTTTGTTTGTTTGTTTTGTTTTATTTTGTTTTGAAACAGTGCCTCACTTTGTATCCCTAGCTGTCCTGGAACTCATCATGTAGACCAGGTTAGCCTTTAACTCGCGGAGACCCTGCCTCCGTGTCCCCGGCTCTGGGATTAAAAGTGTGTGCCAGCCTGCTGGATCTTTTCGTGGTTATTGTTGTGTGGTACAGGAGACAGAACCCCAGGGCCTCACACAGGCTAGGCCAGCATCCTAGCACGGAGTTATCTCCAACTTGTCTGCGCACGTGTGCGTGAATGTGCCCCAGAGGCCAGAAGAGGGCATCTGAGTCCCTGGGCCTAGAGTTTCAGCTATGGAGCTGCTCTGTGGTGAACTGCCTCATTTTCTGTATGGGTTACTTATCTCAACGCTATGATAAAAATACCTTTTGTTTTGTTTTGGATTCACTTGTTTTTTTCAAGACAGGGTTTACTCTGTTTGTAACCCTGGCTGTCCTGGAACTCCCTCTGTAGACCAGGCTGGCCTCGAACTCAGAGACCTCCCTGCCTCTGCCTCCCCAGTGCTGGGATTAAAGGCTTGTGCCACCACTGCCCAGCCATGATAAAAGACCTAATGGACCCATTAAGACAGGTTACTGTTGGCTCACTGTTTGAAGGGACACTGTTCACAGTGTGGGAAGGCACAGTGTCAGGATACGGAGGCAGCTTGCCAGGCCTGCAGACAGCAGAAAGAGCTGGCTGCTGGCTCTTGTCTGACGTACTGCTTTTATTCAGTTCTGGGCTCCAGTCCACGCAATGGGGCGGCCCACATTCGGAGCCGGGCTCTCTGCCTCAGCTGAACCTCTCTGGAAGCACCCTCATAGACACACCCAGAGGCTTGTCTCCTAGAGGCTCCAAATTCAGTCAAAGCGACAGTGAAAATTAACCTTCGTGGCCAGGAAATAAAATCAGCAAAAACAACAAATCTCAGGGAGGGAAAAACCTAAATTTCAGCATTTCCATATCATATATTTAAAATTTCCAGGTCCCCGCCACCATGTGTGGTTTTTCTGGGGACATATAGTCTCATGTTCTCAGCCTTGTTGCAGACTTGATATCACATCCACAGATGTGATATCTGGAATGTCTAGTTTTCAACAAAGAAGACATGTAAAAACCAAATCACCAGGAAAGTATTTTCTGTGCACTGCAAGAAAGCAGTTGATGGAAACTGGCTATGAGGAAGCCCAAATACTAAATTAAAACAACTATTTTAAATGTTTTAAAAAGTTAAAGAAGCCAGGCAGTGGTGGCACAAGCCTGTAATCCCAGCACTCGGGTAGGCAGAGGCAGGCAGATCTCTGTGAGTTTGAGGCCAGCCTGGTCTACAAAGTGAGTCCAGGACAGCCAAGGCTCCACAGAGAAACCCCGTCTCAAAAAAAACAAAACTAAATAAAAATAAAATTTAATTTTTTTTTAAAAGTTAAAGAAAATAATTTTATGAAATTAAAGGAAAGCAAGAGAACAATCTTCCACTAGTGCAACTCTTCAGGAAGAATTGGGAGGTGTGGTTGTTGGAGGAGGTATGTCATGGGGGTAGGCTTTAAGGTTTCAAAAGACTTGAGTCGTTCCTAGCATGTCCTCCCTCCTTCCTGCTTGTGGGTCAAGCTGTGAGCGCTCTGCTGTTCGCGCTGCTGTGCCTTTGCCATGCCAGCATGGACTCTAACCCTCTGAAACCATCAGCCCAACCAAACACACTCTTTTGTAAGCTGCCTTGATCATGGTGTTTCGTCACAGCAATAGAAATGTAACTAAGAGACCCCCACCCAGTTAGGGTGGTATCATTTCCTGGGCTGGTCTCCTGGATTCTGTAAAAAGGAGAATGTGGGCTGAGCGCAAGCATTCATTATTCTCTCTCCTGACTGTAGATGCAGTGTGACTGGGTCCCTCAAGCTCCTGGTGCAGGAAGACTTCCCCACTCTGAAGGATGATGGATTACCACATCAAACTATGAGGCAAGACCAACCCTTTCTCCTGGAGGTTGCTTCTGTTGGGGTATTTTTATCCCAGTGAGTATATTTTTGTTGGTTCGTTTGTTTGTTTTGCGAGACAGAGTTCTCTGTGCAGTTTTATCTCTCAATTGCTGGGGCTAAAGGCATGCCTGGCTCACACTGAGTATATATATTTTTCTCCCTCCTCCCCCAGACAGTGTTTCTCTGTGTAGCCTTGTCTGTCCTGGACTCCCTTTGTAGAGCAGGCTGGCCTCAGACTCACAGAGATCTGCCTGCCTCTGCCTCCCAGAGTGCTGGGATTACAGGCGTGCGCCACCGTGCCCGGCTCACATTGAGTATAATCTAAAGGCAGGTTATCCAGGTTCAAATCCTGCTTCCACCACATAGAAGCTGATTAGGTACACTTCTCTGGAAGGCAAGAATCAAGAGTGAATACACAGCTGGAAGGTGGCGCACACCTCTAATCTCAGCACTCAGGAAGGCAGAGGTAGGCAGATCTCTGTGAGTTCAAGTCCAGCCTACAAAGCGACTCCAGGACAGCCAAGGCTGCATAGAGAAATGTCTACAAAAACTGAAAGGAAAAAAAAACATATTAAAAGGGGATTAATTATATTGGCTTGCATGGTCCTGTCTAGCTAGTCCAACAGTGACCATCTTCAAACTGAGAAGCCGAGAACCTCCATCTTCGAAGGCCATAAAGACGGACAGGTGTTTCTGAACCTCAGCAGTCAGTCTGGAACTGAAGACTGAAGGATTCCTGAAGAACCACTTGGTCTTCACATTGGACAATATAAAGGCTCGGTTCTGTCATTGGTTGAGGGCGGCAGCAGCAGCAGGGTCAGTGAAACTCATCAGCAAGACATGAAGGCAAGCAGGCGAAAAAGCAAGCGTTCTCCCTGAACTTCCTTTTATTTGACTGGCAGATGCCACTCACAATTAGGGTTCGTCTTCTGATTTTAAATAACCTAATCAAGGAAATCTTTCCCGGATATGCCAAGAGGGTCTTGTGTTGTGTCAAACTGACCAAATTAACCATCACAGAAGCCAAGTGTGATGGCT